GGACTGGGAGGAGCTGTTTTGGTGCTACAGATGTTGACAAGAAAATGGTTTGATGGACTGAAAATATTTCGAAATATCTCAGTATAATGCAGCTGTTATTCAGTCAATTAGGATGAATATTATTTATACAATTCAACAGTTTTTGTATCGATTGGTACAAAATCCGCGAACAGCAATCATTGTTTTGATCGTGATTTTCTCCACCCGCATAATCGTCGTCATTTCAACCGAAAATCAGCATTACATTTTTATATTTTATTTTCTGAAGATATATTCATTTCGGGCACAGTTAAGGTGAAAATACATAGCGGTCTTAATATTTTTAATGGCTCTTTATAAATAAGGTATTGTATATTTTTTCTTTTGTTTCCATTTGGCGACCAACAAAGATTGATCATTTTCGTTATTACCAAAAATTTATCATCCTATAAATAAACTTTTTAAAAATGAATACTTTATGTTTTACATACTCCTGGTGCTATACAAGGGTATATACGGTACTTGAATTTTTAAACGGTGATCCCAGATCCTTAATAAAAACTAAAGCCACAAAGATATACACTGTACTGTACCTTACGTTATAGCAGAAAGTTTCCAATGTGGTGCAGCAAGAGACCCGCTAACCAAAACAAACCTTCGTCTTGTGGCCCATATCTTACATCTTTACGGCACCGTCCTGGAATGAATAACATTTTAACAACTAATAAATTAAATACGCTGGGCAGTAATATTATATAATATGTATACAGTACTGTACAGTATTATATTATACAGGAACTCATTAAATCTTCAAACATTTAAATACATTATTATGGTTAAATTAAGACATTTCCATAAAACTTATTAAAGAAAATAATGAAACACTTTAGAAAATCTTACCTCGACGAATGACAAGAGGAACTTCATTAACCACGATCAGCGAGGCAGCAATATGGTAGTTGTCTTAACACTACAGTAATAACCAATTGGAGCCGTCAACTGTAAACAAAGTAATGAATATAATGTATAAAGACAAAAACAATTGTATAAAAGCAAATAATGTAAATACTGTGGTAATGTATTGTTAACTCCCATGAAAAGACAAAACTTGGCTTCACTACAAGTTAACTCTGGTCAACAACTTTCTTAATACCACTTACTAGTCACTAATGGATAACACCTGGTAAATTCACAAATTATATCCCACTGCCATAAGGGTTTAATTATCTATAAACGCCGATATTGTGAAGCGTCTTGTGATTTTTCCTTTCCCAGAGAATTAATATACCATCGGACACATGATTTGGTTAGGTTAGGATCCCACCAAATACAGTGAGAAAAAAGTCAATTTATTGTCAAAAACTAAACTGCAACTTTACAGTAAAGTTCCCAAAATGTCTCAGAAGCTAATTTTTTACTACAAACTGAAATTTAGCCATAAATAAAAAGTACCACATTCTTATAACCAAATTTTTTTACTTCAATCAAATAAAAAAATCTTTCCCAAAATAAAAATGACCCAAAATCCCACCTTGGTTAATATATAGGACTAACCCGCCATAGTGCCGATGCTGCTGTATCATCTCACGTCCAGAAAATGTCTCAAATATCACAGTATAGTAAGTTTTTTTTCTTTTTAATATACAGGGGAAGTTAGGTTAGGTAGGTTTGTTTGGTTAGGTCTGTCCTTCATAACCACAAATGTTAAGTAGCGTTTATTTAAAAAACATCCATTTACTAACATTACCACAAACAGTGTCCACTATAATATAACAATGAAAATCTGACGTTTTTATAATAGTTCTCAATCCATTTTGCTCTTGGGTTAGTCCTATATAATTACCCCCACCTCAATTGGACGACACAAAGATAATAACTACCTTCAATTTTAACGATCCATGAGGCTGTAACGAGATGGTTGTCTCCTCCATCTTCAACAGTGACAAGCAATAAATTGTATAAAAATTAGAATAATGACTGTTATTGCAGATGGCTTCAGCTACAGTGCTGGCATGTGATGCCATTAAATCTTTCGACCCGTGACCTCGCCAGATGTAGAAGTGTTTACAGACAAGTCCTGGCTCTGCTGAGTGGACTGTCTTCGGCGGGTGGTGGTGCTGCCTGCCCTGCCATGAGACAGATCGTCCTCTCTCTTGAGGCTGTGAAGACCAGCCTTCTGCTGGCACTGATGAACATCAACACTCATAATCCTGTCTGAGAATTTGTTACGAGTTGGGGATTTAGAATATAGTTAAAAGTCTACCCAGATCCCAACAGGCAACATCAATAAAAAAACAAAGACAATCGAACTATAAAAGGGTAGACAAAGGATGTGAGTTTTTGTTGTGTATAATAAAGTACCATAAATCCCCTAACAAAATATTCCGCTTCCTATAAATTACCCTTAACCATACTTAACCTAAACATTAACAGTATATACATATTAATACAACATAAACAATTTTGAAGCAAGTGGACGTGGGGGAGGCAATACAAGATTACAAATACTTAAGTGAGGAGCTGAGATGGCTGACGAGTAAGGCTGAGTATTGTAGAAGACGGTAGGTAGTCACTGTGCCGTAGGTTTAGAGGATAGATGATCCTGTGGTCACTTCCCAGAGTGTAGTCCTCTCTCCTCGAATTGGAGCTCACAAAGAAGACTTGGAGGAAGTGACGCAACAACCAGGATATGGAGAAGGGAAACCCCGGAGTGTTAACTAAGACGAGTCATACTCGTGTCTCGTCCCTAGATGGCATTGCTCGTGGTGCTGGGTAGGTAGATCAGGACAATTGGTGGAGGGGTTCGTAACAACTGTCTTCGGCGGGTGGTGGTGGTGCCCGCCCTGCCATGAGACAGATTGCCCTCTCTCGTGAGGCTGTGAAGACCAGCCTTCTGCTGGCACTGATGAACATCAACACTCATAATCCTATCTGAGAATTTGTGCTGGGACAATTTACTCAGTACTGTTGTCTCTTGGAACACCATACTGATCTGCACTGACCCACACTTGTAAGTACAGCCTAAGTGATGACATACCCCTTGGTACTGAAATTTTGTTGACTAATTACATCTACTCGTTTGTGCCTAACCTGGAGTAATAAGACAATGGTGAATGAAGCATAACTAAGATTACTAGAGTTATGAACTTTGTGTTATGTCACTATGTTTAATAAATAGTAATTAAGATAAAATTGTGTGAGACTAACTCATTATGTATCAGATGGTTCACCATGTAATATTATGAACATCTCCTCTGTAGGTTTTGACCACATCAATAAATATTGAATGAGTCGAAAGGCGAGTTTCAATCATTCCCTTCGACTTGCCCGTCACCTGAACGACCTTAACCAAGGCGTTTACAGTTATGTAATATACACATATCAAATAGTGTATTGTGCATAATGAATATATTTCTGAATATCTTTAAGAGTTGTGAGGGATAAAAGCTTCACCCATTCTACTCTCACTGCACAGTAAGTCAGTGAAGAGTTGTTGATTGAAGGAAATTGTGAATATTTAAGTTTTAATGAACAATGGTTAAGTTAGGTTAGGTCAGGTCAGGTGATGTGAAGACATTCATAAGCTGGAACACAGGCTATATACAGTATTACCCCGCCTAACGCGGTTTCACTTAACGCGTTTTATCATATACGCGGTGCCTCGCCAGAGCTGAACTTTCACTTAACACAGATTTTTTCCACATATACGCGGTGAGTGTCCGGTTCGAGACGCTATTTTTAGATTTGCCCCACCTGCCACCCTGCCTGACTGCCTGTTTTAGCTCATAAAATTCATACAAATTACCCGGTCAGAATATAATTTACATTGCTGGAATTCTTATAATTTGGTGATCATTTTGAATATAAACATCATATATTTTGCATTAGACATACAAATTTTAGATAAAATTTTTCTCAGAGTAAATATGTTATCTTTTGTGCAAAATACATGACATTTATATTCAAAATATTCCTGGTCTTACAAGGAATCCAGCAATGTCAAATATATTATCCTAACTTTAGTTTGAGGTATTATTTATTACAAAAAAGTTAAGTATTCTGGTTTTCCCACACATCTCCTTGGGACGGTTGGTGGGGGGTGGGGGGGAGGGAGGGACCGACCGACCATCTGTTACCCTGTGAAGAATATTTTTTTTTTTTTTATTAACTGAAGATATTTGTTTTAGCTCATAAAATTCATACAAATTACCCGGTCAGAATATAATTTACATTGCTGGAATTCTTATAATTTGATGATCATTTTGAATATAAACATCATATATTTTGCATTAGACATACAAATTTTAGATAAAATGTTTTCTGAGTAAATATGTTATCTTTTATGCAAAATATATGACATTTATATTCAAAATATTCCTGGTCTTACAAGGAATCCAGCAATGTCAATTATATTATCCTAACTTTAATCTGAGGTATTATTTAATACAAAATGTTAAAATGTATTTTTTTCAACCCACATCTCTTGAAGGGAGGATTGGTGGGGGGTGGGGGGGAGGGTTGGGACTGACCGCACGGTTGGAAGAGGGGGGAGGCAAGGTGGGGTACTTTGATTGACAGATAGTGTCGTGAAGATTATTTTTTTTTTATTAACTGAAGATATCTGTTTTAGCTCATAAAATTCATACAAATTACCCCGTCAGAATATAATTTACATTGCTGGAATTCTTATAATTTGGTGATCATTTTGAATATAATCATCATATATTTTGCATTAGACATACAAATTTTAGATAAAATTTTTTCTCTGGGTAACTATGTTATCTTTTGTGCAAAATATATGACATTTATATTCAAAATATTCCTGGTCTTACAAGGAATCCAGCAATGTCAATTGTATTATCCTAACTTTAGTTTGAGGTATTATTTATTAAAATTTAGTGGTTTTCCCCAAAAAATTTCTCAGAGAGGGAAGAGCCGGCAGTGTAGTGTGAGAGGGGGAGGGAGTTGAGTCCATTATTTGAATGGACATTAACTTGGCGACTGTATTTCTCTATTTCTCTTAAGTATTAATTGTGTGCATGTACCATCATAAAATTAAGATGTTATTTTTACTACAACATAGTTATGTGTCTTCAAAAAGTGGAGTTTGGGGGTCGGGCCGGTTTCTATTGGAATTAATCCCATATGTTCTGTTGTTCACTTAACGCGGATTTCACTTAACACGGGACCCTCTGGGTTCTATTGACCGTGTTAAGTGGGGTACAACTGTATATGTTTTATGGGTAATAGTCCACCCGGGCACAGGTCATGACCCACAACAGGGCCTAGGGGAGGGAAGAGTAAAAATAAATTTTAAAAATATAAAATAACAAGGTTATATTAATGTACACCGCCAGAGAAGCATCTTGTTTAAAGTGAGACAGATTGTATGGAAACACAGAAGAAGGCAGAGCATTCAACAGTGTGAGGAAAGAAGGATGTACTATAATGGGTTATTATAGTGTGACCCACATCCACACTGTGGGCAAGACACCAGCCCACTGTACACAGGATGATACTTGTTAACAGAGGATTTACTGTATAATTGAATCAATGCCGAGAGAAAGAAACCTAACCTAACCAAACCTAGCCGGGTTACTACACCCAGTATTGATTCATCTTGTTTTGGTAATGAATATTGACGCCGGTCCTGGATTATGTCAACAATTGTATATAATTGTTCTTCCTCTATGAATTTCTTTGTTATCATCTAACAACACAGCCATGTTGTAACACAGTACCATAAATCATTATAATTTGACCATAATTATAGTAATAAAAGTAACTTATGATGTACAAGGAGAGATTTATCCTCTTCCATAAAAACTCGTCCAGTCATAGTTGCCGCCATAATCTTGTAAACATTACTCTCGATGGCGACTGGCTGCCGTAATGGTGTAGATGAAATGTGATTTGCTGGATTTTCAGTGTTTGAATCTTTGCTCGTAACTGAAGAAAAAACGGAGCAGATTACCAGATCCGGGGTTCAAGCCGATGTTCTGAATATGGGTAATAATCCACTGGAAGAAATCTAGGCACAAGGAATCCCGATTCGCACACCCGAGTCGAGCTCAAATCCCAGGCTCAAACTACCGTCCTGAATTTGGGTCTATTGACAGGTAGACAACTATAGACAGAGAGACAACTAGATGGAGAAATAAAATGTACTATAAGAAATATTTCTCATAGTGTGTTGTGTTACACCGGGTGGAGGGGTCAGAGGCAGCCGTTCACTACCTCCAACTAAGGCTGTCTCAAGTTTGTAAGTCATATTAACTATACTGTACAATATGATATTTTCATCAATGAGTTCTGATATAATAATTATTTTTAGGGTAATTGCTTCGTTTGGTAGATAATTAGGTGACTAGGCGAGAACTACTTTGTCTGGCGCACATCACTTGTCTTTCTCGGTGGTGATGCGGCGGTACACAGCCAATCATCTCCACTCAACGCCAGTCACCAGTGTAGGTTTATGAGCCACACAGATCAGGCGGCTGCTCTCAGGTCCACAAAAAACGTCAAATTACACCATATAATAGGAAGTTCTTTCTGTTTAATATGCAGGGGGTTCCGGAAGGTTAGGTTAGGTTAGATCAAATTTGTTTGGTTAGGATGGCAAGGTCTTCTAACAATGCTTCTGCCACTTGCTTTTGTTATCAAATATGGTTAGGTTAGGTTAGGTTTGGTTTGGTTTGGTTAAGTTAGGTTTGTATGGTTAGGATGGCAAGGTCTTCTAACAATGTTTCTGCCACTTGCTTTTCTTATCAAATATGGTTAGGTTAGGTTAGGCTACGTCACGTTTAATTTAGAAATAACCAAGTTTTAACACATTTTACATAACTGGGACAGTGTTCACTACAAAACAGTGAAATTAAAACGTTTTTAAATTTGTTTAATATTGAGCGGGTGTTAAGTGTTGCAGTAGTGGGTGTTGCTTCTGGTAACATGTGTTGGTGGTGACTCAGTGACTCTCAGCGGGTGTTAAGTGTTGCAGTAGTGGGTGTTGCTTCTGGTAACATGTGTTGGTGGTGACTCTGCTGGTGTTAGTGGGTGTTGCTTCTGGTAACATGTGTTGGTGGTGACTCAGCTGGTGTTAGTGGGTGTTGCTTCTGGTAACATGTGTTGGTGGTGACTCAGCTGGTGTTGCTTCTGGTAACATGTGTTGGTGGTGACTCAGCTGGTGTTGCTTCTGGTAACATGTGTTGGTGGTGACTCAGCTGGTGTTGCTTCTGGTACATGCTGGTGGTGACTCAGCTGGTGTTGCTTCTGGTAACATGTGTGGTGGTGACTCAGCTGGTGTTGCTTCTGGTAACATGTGTTGGTGGTGACTCAGCTGGTGTTGCTTCTGGTAACATGTGTTGGTGGTGACTCAGCTGGTGTTGCTTCTGGTAACATGTGTTGGTGGTGTTGCTTCTGGTAACATGTGTTGGTGGTGACTCAGCTGGTGTTAAGTGTTGCAGTAGTGGGTGTTGCTTCTGGTAACATGTGTTGGTGGTGACTCAGCTGGTGTTGCTTCTGGTAACATGTGTTGGTGGTGTTGCTTCTGGTAACATGTGTTGGTGGTGACTCTCCATCAAGTAAGGCCGCTGGCTGACTGAGTCTGTTTTAACAACAACAGTAGTGACACTGTCCCTACACTCTCCATGTGCACCAACAACTGGTGGTAGTGACACACATTACCCACCAACAGACAGTACTGTACTAGACAGGTAACACGTCTCACTAAAGTACCACGGTTCACCTTGGCTATATATAAGTTAATAAACAACTCACAGTGACCTAGTGAAGTATTAAATCATCCAAGTTTGGATTTTAATTAACACATTTTGGTCGACTTAATGTTTACAACTGAGGCGATGAACACTGTTAATAACTTACCACGAACAACTCAACTTTACCTAATATAAACTAACATCACATAGTTTAAACAATTATTATTTACTGAAAAACAAACTTTACTCTACTACTGATACACTTTTAAATAATTGTATTACATCTACTTATTATTGTATTATAAACTGAACACTAAGTAATATTAAGCCATCATCAGGTAGTTATAGTAACACTAATTAATAATAAACTGTCATCAGGTAGTTATAGTAACACTAATTAATAATAAACTGTCATCAGGTAGTTATGTTAGGTAAATATTAGTTAGTTGAGGTTAATCAATAAATAAACTAGTTCGTGGTAATATTATAACACTGATCAGCTCCCCTCCCCCCAGTACCAAGGAAAGTACTTTATATACTTTCTTTGGCCGATAATTTTACATATATATTCATTAGTCTCTGTTACGGTACACCTCGGCTATGAAAATTAGTGCTATGAGTTTACATTAATTTGCAAAGGTTAACTTTTATAAATGAATCAGTGTTTGAGCTGTACTGCCAAGAGGATAAAAGTAAATATTCTTTTATTATTTCATAACTTGATCTGTGTATTATTTTATTGTTTTATGCTCTTATATTGGGTGAAAAAAGTGTTTGTATTACACAGTTATTTATTTTTTTACTTTCTTCTACATAAGACATATATATAGGGTCTGCCCGTTTCGTCACCACTGCTCTACCCGTTTCGTCACCGCGTTCATTCCCATCATTATATTGTCGCGTACTGTATGTGGCCAGTTGTCAATTCTCTTTAGTTGTATGGGCACACAAACGTACGTACATGTAGATGTCTCCACTCAGGAATGAGGTAGGACAGAAACTCACAATAAGCTTTCTGTATATATATTGTTGTACAGCGCAGTGCTTAGGAGTGACTAGGTGAGGAGCTGTGAGAGATGTTGCTGGTCCAGTAGCTGAGTGTAGAATGGTCTCCCTGATGATGATGAAGTAACAATGGAATAATATAATGATTGTTAAATGTTGTAACCTAGAATTGAAGATGTAATTTGTTACTTATAAAAGTACGACCTGAGGGTCCAGTGTTATCTGACTGTATGTAGTAACCCCTGAATCTTACTTGTCAGAGAAATAATACAACAGTTGTCTCATGAAGTAGTGAGTAATTGAAGTAGTTAAATGGTGTAATAAGTACTTGAAGTGTTTAATGAAGTGGTAATAAATATTGAATTAGTAATCTACGAGTATCACCTCTCTACTCCTTCTAAACATTTGTTCCCAGAAAATAATACTGACTCACGTGCCTATATACATCTACCACACTACCCAAAAGCTTTCCATGAGATATGTTATATTCTACACAAGAGTCTGGTGGTGGCAGCCTACCCTTGTAAGTATAATAAGTGTACTAAGAATAACATGGTTCCCAGACTAACCCTTGTATGAGAATATAAGTAAAAACAGAGTATACTTCACGAAGGTAGGAACATTGAAATTTAGAAAATATAATATTATATATGAAAAGAAATGAAAGACTTGGAAACTATAAGCATAGAAATATCAGAATTACTTGTATAAGAATATGAGCAAGAATAAGGTATATATCTAAATAAAGAATTGAAGAATAATAACAGAAAAGAATATCTGGATGGTAAATTATAAAGAGAAAGAAAACCGCCCGTCACACAGCAGCCCTTCTGTGGGTTAGGTATCCACTTATCCAGTCTAACAGTGTACCTCCTATGTCCATTTTGGCTAGTTCGTACAATATCAGTTGTCTATTGGTAATATCAAAAGCCGCTTTTAGGTCAAGAAATATGGTGTATCTGTGTCTTTCATCACCATGTACAGTTAGGAATGTGGTGATGCAATTATGGACACTTTTACCATGGGTGAAGCCATTTATGTTAGGAGACAAGTGTTCTCTGATTCTATATAAGAGTCTGCCAAGAACCATCCTCTCAAAGGTTTTACACAGGCAGCTGGTTAGTGATATGGGACGAAAGGCATCAGGCTGTCCTGGTTTCGGTTTTGGTACAACAATACTGCTGGTCCATGATGTGGGTAGTTGGCCTTTGGTATGACTCATATTGTACAATGCCAACAATGGATTGCCCGGCAGACGCCTTAGTAGTCTAACGATGTTGTAGGTGACTCCGTCCTCTCCAGGGGAAGTAGACCTACCCCTGGCGAGGGCGGCGTCAAGCTCCCACTCAGTATATGGAACATCACACTCATAGTGCTGTTTGCCCAGCATAAAGTTAATAAGATTACTTCTCTCTACAGTACAGACTTCGCATCAAGGAGTCCCCAAGTCCTAGCTGGTAACATGTTACAGCTCGACACATGAGCCCATTTTGTTATTAGCTCATTCGACTTTTGCAGTGGGTTTAGATGGGAGACGTGTTTACTGTTTTTACCTCTGATTGTGTTTATGTCTTTCCAAGCTTTGCTGAGGGATGTGTGTTGGTTCAGGCTGTTGACATATGTCTCCCATGCATCTTGTCTGAGTTCGTTTACACGTTCCCTGACAGCAGCAAGGGAAGCTTGATACAATTGTAACATTTGAGGTGTTCTAATTTGTTTGTAACCCTTACCCACCCTCCTGACCCTAGCCCTGAGTTTTTTCAGCTCAGGGTCATTATAGCACTGCTGTTGCCTGTTCCCATTATGCTGACCACGTTTTCTCCTTTTTTTGGTGGAATCATTGTTGGTGAAGTATGTATTAGTCCTATCTATCAGATCGTCATGGAAACTTTGGTACTTGTCAGGCTTCTAGTCCTTGTACCAAATAGGGTGGTGGACGAGTGGAACAAGCTTAGCAACTTTGTAGTAAGTGCTGGAACGCTGGAAAATTATAAAAGGAGGCTACATAGATTCATGGACGATAGAGAGTGGTAGTAACTCTCGACAGGAGCTGCCATACACAGGCCAACCAGCCTATTGCAGACTCTTTATTTGCTTATCTTCTTAGAAGGTGAGGCGGCTGGGAGGGTGTGTGTGAGGTGGCTATACACCAATCACCACCATACCTCCAGCGCTGTTGCTACTTTTCTTTAAAAGTTCCCTCGAAATTAAAGTACCAATTGTTGCATGTTATCAATTTGGATGTGCTGTCGTTCTATCGTAATGGACCGTCGAATCTTGTTTAATTCGTTGGTATCCACCTCGCTTGCTGCATTCTGAGTTAGTATGTGCTCAGTGAGGGCTGCCGTGAGCTTGACTGAGTTCTGATGTTCTGCAATCTCCTCTGGATTGGTCAATCCCATTCCTCCCAGAGATGGCGTCAGTGCAAGGGTTGACTGTTCTGCTGGGGTTAAGTGAAGATATTTCACTATTTTTTTAATAAAATTGACGCTGATAGCTTCTTCCAGAGGGTGGAGGAGGGGTCCGATATGAGGGATAGTGCACATCAGGTAGTTCCAGTGATGCTCGACTCCATGGGTGAATGCTGCAAACGACGCATGTGGCTCTGTGTTAGCAATATCCAACAGAGTTTGGATTTCCTTCACCCACTTCTACCAGTACTACTACCACCACTTCTATCACTTCCACTTCAACTTCTACAGTACTACTGACACTGCCACTGACAGTCCCATCATCATTGACTCATCCTCACTACTTGCTCTTGATACCCGCTTGTCACTGAAGCCAGACACAAGCACATGTGTCTTGTTGACGAGGGTGTCAGGATCAAGCTGCTGTGGATCCCCTCTCACATAGGCATTAGTGAACATGGTAGAGTTGATGCCTTAGCTAAACTCGCGTCCAACAATGACAATGTTGAATACAATCTGGGACTGTCAACCAGAACCTAAGAAACTGTAATCAGAAAAGAGCTTTCTGATGAATTTGACGCAAGCAGACAAGTGCAAACAGGCACTTGCCAATCCATTGTTTACCATGATGAGATGTATCAATTAGAACATGTATATGGAACAAGTAATAAGATCACTAGATTACACGCTGTTATAACCACTATACCTCTGTCAGTATGCCCCTCAGGCAGATGTAAACAATACTAAATGTAAAGTGTGTGACCAGACATATGGCCACACACTCCAACACTACGTCTTAGACCGTGAAACAATATAACCTTATAGGGATAGATCCAAGCACACTGTGTATGTAATGGTACAACACTTTATCTCTGATGGCAAGATAGCTGATATACTAAGGCTGTATCCTCACTTGGCATATAATAGCTAAACAAACCTTATATACCGAACTAAACAAACAATGTACTGAAAGTAATCTGTAACACAATATCCTGACAACTGGGGTCTGATAAACACCCTTTGTGGCCTCTCCTCTGTAATACTTTAACCACAGGATGAGTATGGGGTGCACAATAAACTAGCTGCTGTCCATGGCAATAATTAAAATTCTCTCTCTCTCTCTCTCTCTCTCAAATGGTCCCTATATACAGGTCACTGTTCAGGTAGCTGCTAGTACAGATTTACTGAGTTGTTCACAACAGTAAGATGAACAGAATATTGAGGTCAAAACTAATACAGGCTTAGTGATACGGTCGGTATAGTTAGTTTGATGTTATAAAGTGGTGATAACTCACTGATGACCTCGTTATACTCAGGTAACCACTATATAGAGGTGTTCCTTGGTTGTTAAGAACATAAGAATGGAGGAAACAGTATCTATTGGCCCATACTGGGCAGTCCCATTTACACCCAACCCCTATCGCTCATATATCCACTCTGTAACACCATTTATTATTATTATTATATGATATGAGGTATCTAACTCAAATCATTATTATTCTATGATGATGTACTTGACCCCATTTATTATTATATGATATTATGTATGTAACACCATTTATTATTATATGATATGATGTATTGACCGCCATTCAGTATTATTATGACATGATGTACCTAACCCCATGTGCTATTATTTTTGGTGCTATTTTGTAATATGTATCCCAATATATTTTTTATGAAGGTGTGTCACATTCTAGTTGTATGTTAACAGATTTCCATTTCTTGTACCTAATCCTGACCACCGGTAGGGAATTA